TAGAGAACTTAACTGAACAGTTGGTCTCTAGTTTCAGTTGATTAAACTCAGTGTGGAGAGAAATACATAAATTTAGTCATCAGGTGTCCTAGGACGTTAAGCTGTCGGCATGTCAACCAATTATGGTGTTTCAATTTAGCAGTTGTTTTGAATATTGGTCTATAAGGGCAGAAATCTAGGGCATTTGTTCTTCAAATTTATAAAGGGCATTTGAGAAATACATGAGAATACTATTTAGGACAAAACTTCTTAAACCTGACCCTCAGAAATTTTAGTTTGGGAAATTTTAGGGGAAACTTTGATGTCTGTTTTCTTAACATCTTTCCCCTTTCTTGTGCTCCTTGTGGACTTCATAGAAGTCGTCCATTGGCACCTCATATGGGACAATGTTCTAGGGATTTGAAACTTTTAGGAGATAAAACCTAATCTAATAACTATAAAATTTGAGAACCCTAAGGTATGGAGACAAAGGAGAGAATTAATGCTAAGTACAGCTAACATAAGGAGGGAATAATTCTGCTGACCGGCTGATAGCTGCCTCCACCGCAGAGGATTCGTCAAGGTTCTTATGAATTTGATGACTGCATGACGACTTGAGGACCTGAAATTACCCAGCTGGTACCAGCCAACCTCGTACTTTGTTTTTTCTTTATATTTCTAACACTAGAAAGAATTCCTGTTCACTTAGGTGTAAATGATAGGCTTAGAGGAACAAGCTACATCATGGTTCTTTAGGGAAGAGAAATGGAATGGGTTTGGGAAGAGGAGAAAATGAAAGTCTCTTAAAAACTGTGTAGAAATGAAAATCAAGGTTATTATTTCCTCTCAAGCTGGTGCTGAGGGCATAAACAGTCAAGGTTCAGAAGGCAATGACAAGTCCAGTGGACAAGTTGAAAAGATAGTGACAGAGGTTCTTTACCACAAATTAATTAATTAATTAGAGTTGAAAAGCAGTGCAGGTCCATTGATAACTGACACAGCAGGGCGTGCAGAATAGAAGGTAAGGTTGGAGTAGATAGCACGGTACATATCCGTTATCCCAGCACTCAAGAGACTGCAGCAGGAAGATCATAAATTCCAGTCCAGGCTAGGCTACTTAGTGGGTTGGGAGCCAGGCTGAGCTACATGAAACTTTATCTCAAAAAACAAAACAACAATAACAATAAGGATGGTGAGGAGGTGGAGGAGGAAAAGGAAACATAAAGAAAATGGATTCATGCACACTGGAAAAAAGTTCAGCACTGTATGGATTTTGCATTTCATTCTAAGAATGATTTAATAATTCAAGGAATGGTGAACAAGAGATGAAGCAAGGAGATTTAAAGGACATAATTGGGATTGTCCTGGTGAAATGTGTTGGCCACTAGCACTTGGATGTTGTCTATAGGTAAAGCTGATGAGAAATTGTGGGAAGGAGAATCCCTAGGACTCTATGATTTAAAATTAAATCTCTGGAATGCTATAAAAGATTTAAAATTCAATTACCAGAACTCTATGATAGATTTAAAATTCAATCTCTGGTACCTTATGATAAACTTAAAATTGGCTGACGATCAGAGTATTTTACTTCCCAATCCAGTTTTTTGAGAATTTAGGATTATATAGAAAGCCTATTTAATATGACTTCCATCCCAGTTAATAATTTAATGTGTGAGCCTTTAGTGGTGGCACATGCCTTTAATCCCAGCACTTGGGAGGAAGAGTCAAGGAAGTCTCTGTGAGTTCAAGGCCAGCCTGGTCTACTGAGTGAGTTCCAGGACAGCAAAGGCTACATGGAGAAATCCTGTCTTAAAAACCCAAAGATAGATAGATAGATAGATAGATAGATAGATAGATAGATAGATAGATAGATAGATAGATA